CGCGAAGGAAGGCCGCGCGGAGACGGGGGGGGGGGGAACCAGGAGGGACGGAGGCAGGGAATGGTCGTTGGCCCCGGTTGGCAAAGGGACAGCCAACCTTCTCCCTCACGGAAGGAAGGCAGAGGTTCCCAAGTCCCCCTCCCGCGCTCGCTCTTCTTGCCCTCGGTCCCTCGTCTTTCTTGGGGCGGCGGCGGCGGCTGTTAGCCGGAGAAAGCGGCAGGACGCGTCCGGCTGGGTGCAGCGCGGAGCGAGCCTGGACAGAAGAGGGGCTCCCCGCCGCAGAAGGCGCCCGGCGCTCTGCCACCTCGTCTTCCTTCCCCTGCTCTCCTTTTCATCGCCTCGTCCGTGGCTTCGTCCGGCATCATCGAGTCCTCGTCCTTCTTGGGGCGGCGGCGGCGGCGGCGGCGGCTGTTAGCCCGAGAAAGCGGCAGGACGTGTCCGGCTGGGTGCAGCGCGGAGCGAGCCTGGACAGAAGAGGGGCTCCCCGCCGCAGAAGGCGCCCGGCGCTCTGCCACCTCGTCTTCCTTCCCCTGCTCTCCTTTTCATCGCCTCGTGTTTGGACAGCCTCATAACCCTGGCAGGCAGGCAGGCAGGGAAGGAGGGAAGGGGGGAGGGAAGGAGGGAGGGAGGGAGGGCGAGGGCGAGGCAGCATCCACCATCCGCCGATATCAATCTTTTTAGCAATTAGAGGAAGGAGGACCAAAGGGGGGCGTAGCCGCTCTGGTAATAGTCAAGGAAAACCGATAAGTGCTTCCCCCCCCTCTCCACACACACATACAGTACAGTATATGCCAGGGCAATTCCACCTCCGGGTATGCCAGTAAAAGGGGACAGAGGGATTTCGAAGCATGGTGGATTTTGTGTTACAAGCCAAGCCAAGCTCATTCACTCTAAAGCTGTGGTAGCCTATCCATTCGGGCTAGCGTGGCTTTTGTTTCTAGTGCTGTTTTTGCTAATGCAACCAGATCACCCACGTGTGTGTGTTTTTTTAAAAAGGGGATGGCATCCTTTCTAATTGATGGGATCTAGATAAGATTATCCGACAAGGATGCCTTTCAGCCTGGGGGGGGGCAAAGGCCAGTCTCTAATGCTGTATTACCTCTCTATCACACATAGGTCAGTGAATTGAACTCTGGCTGATAGAAATGTATGTCATAATAAATGTGTTAGTCTTGAGATGCCACAAGGCTCTTTGTTGTTTTCAGCACTTTAGACATTTCTGACATGCAATGAATAATCCGTGGTTCATTAGAAAGAATTCTGAATATTCTCTGGTCTAGGGTTTAACAACTTTTAGACACAGTTTACTAAAAGCATCTTCAAACTTCTCAGACTTTGTTTGCCTAAATTAATATTACAATGTGGAAGAGAGACAGTCTTAAAATTAATGTGCACTTTCAGGTTCAATTTTTAATTACAGATGCTTAAATCAATTAAAACACAATTTTCAGCTTCCATACACCAGTTCCTTAAATACAAAACACTCAATTCTAATAGGGCAATTAGGTCATTAACTAATAGTGTAATAAATAGTCTTGAGCTTCCTTGCATATGCATTTGTTTGTCTTTGATAAGCCTGCTATCAAAGACTATATTTGAAACTTTGGATAAGAGGGATATAGCTGAAAATAATTCTAATGCAATATTTGTCTTCCCGTTATTTGAAAATGAATCTCATTATCCTGTATTGTATAAAGACAGTAAGCAAAGATTCTTCTAATTGCAGGAAGAGCATAATGTTTATATTTTTCTTTGTTCCCTGTGTCATTATATTTTGAATTTCAAAATATGATTCACTGAATTCTCACTGATGAAGTCCTACTAAAGAAAGGAGAGGGTTGACTAAACTGAATTTAATTTTAGGTGGCCACCATAACAGAGTGATCAAATAGGCTGGAAAGTTATTGTATGACTTTCTGAGTAAATATCTCATGTCTGATTTGTGTGCATAAATTCCTTTGCAGGAACAGTTATTTGCAGGTACTAAAGCATATCACATTGTAAAATGAATTGGTGAATTAACCATTGATGTTTCAGCTCATATTACTGGTTTCTGTAATAGTGTTGTCAGAATAGATGAAGGATGGCTGCCAAAGAATTGATGCTTTTGAATTGTGGTACTGGAGGAGACTCTTGAGAGTTCCCCTGGACTGTAAGGAGAACAAACCTATCCATTCTGAAGGAAATCAACCCTGAGTGCTCACTGGAAGGACAGATCCTGAAGTGAGGCTCCAATACTTTGGCCATCTCATGAGAAGAGAAGACTCCCCGGAAAAGACCCTGATGTTAGGAAAGTGTGAAGGCAAGAGGAGAAGGGGACAACAGAGGACGAGATGGTTGGGCAGCATGAATTTGACCAAACTCCGGGAGGCAGTGGAAGACAGGAGGGCCTGGCGTGCTCTGGTCCATGGGATCATGAAGAGTCAGACACGACTTAATGACAAACAGCAACAACAAACAGAAATCTAAGTTCGAAAAAGATTTGATCCCTGTTCTGAAACTGACTTAGAGCTGGAATAGACACTATGGATCATTCTGTCAAGAAGGCACAACGAGGAACTGAACTCCCAAACTCTGGTTGCATCCTTTCTATTTGCTATACTGCATGCTATTGCTGATGGAATTCCCCAGTATTGTGCTTGTTTTCCTGAACAGTGGTCATCAGGGGGTGTGGGGCATTGTGTCATCAGTACACTGATGACACACAGCTCTACATCTCCTTTCCACCAACTTCAGTGGATGCCATCCTGTCCCTCCAGCGCTTCCTGGAGACTGTACTGGAATGGATGCAGTCGAATGGATTGAGGCTGAACCCGGACAAGACAGAGGTCTTGAGGGTGGGCGGCCCTTCCGTCAGCGGCATAGGTGACTCCCTCTCCTTTGGAGGGAGGACCCTTGCCGCAAAGAGTGAGGCCCGCAGCTTGGGGATACATCTGGACCTGGCACTTACCATGGAAACCCAGGTGGCGTCCGTGGTCCGCTCCGCCTATTATCACCTATGGCAGATTGCCCAGCTGCGGCCGTATCTTGATGGGGGGCCCCTCACCACTCTAGTCCATGCGCTCGTAATCTCTTGATTAGACCATTGTAATGCACTATACATGGGGCTGCCTTTGAGTTTGATGCGGAAACTTCAGATGGTCCAGAATGCAGCAGCCAGGCTTCTCAGTGGGGTGAGAAAATATCAGCATATCTCCCCCACTCTGGCTGCACTGAAATGGTTGCCTATTCGTTTCCGCATCGACTCAAAGTGTTAATGATCACATATAAAGCCCTAAATGGTTTGGGACCTCAATATTTGGCAGTGCGCCTTCTCCCGCCCAGGTCTACCCGAGTCACCTGACATAGCCAGCGGGGGTGGCTGAGGGGACTGACGCCGAGGGAGGCCCGGAAGGAGAAAACTAGAAACCGGGCCTTCTCGGCGGTCGCCCCTCGGCTGTGAAACACCCTCCCTACTGAAATCCTGCTGGCACCCTCGTGGGTGTTTTCAAAAGCCAATTAAAAACTTGGTTATTTAAACAGCCCTTCCCCCCAGTCAATTAAGTGATTTTTTTCTTTTTCTTTTTCTTCTTTCTGAGTTTTGCCATCTTGGAAACGTGCTGGTTAGAATTAACTGTAATAATTGTACAGTATTATATATGTTTATTTTAATGTGTTTTAACCTATGTAAGCCGCCCCGCATAGACGTAGTCTAGAGCAGTGGTTCTTAACCTTTGTTACTCAGATGCTTTTGAACTGCAACTCCCAGAAACCCCAGTCAGCAAAGCTGGTGGTGAAGGCTTCTGGGAGTTGCAGTCCAAAACTCCTGAGTAACCCAAGGTTAAGAACCAGTGGTCTAGAGGGGCGGGGTAAAAATTGAATAAATTAAATAAAATATATAAATACTTCTTCCTAATGATTTGGCAACTAGTCTTTCCCCAGCTGTGGATCAGCTTTTAAAATAATGTATCTTTTCACTGGCACATGTACTCTGAAGCCAATGAAAGCACACCAGCAATACACAAATCTGAGTCCCCAGAAGTGGAACATGGTAATAATGATGAGAGAGAGAGAGAGAAGGAGGAAGAAGGGGAAAGAGGGAGGGAGAAGATCTGTGCATTTGGGCATTTCCAGATGAAAGCAAAATACAGGCTTGTATATCGGTTAATTCACAGCAGGATTCCTAGGATGCAACAGCTTTGTTGCTTTATAAGACAAGTCAGGGCTGAGACAAGGTGCGACTTCTTTGCTAGTCCCAGGCAGTCCATCCCTTCCCTGCATAGCTGGATTTATGCCGCAAAGGTAAACAAAAGTGTGGTTCTAAGGATGATAATTTATGGGCAAGCACAATTGGGCATATTGTTCATCATTTTTCAATCACAGAGCACATGTTAAAACACCAAATTTAGCTCCTTGCTTCCCGTTTTTTAGGATCTTGATCCAACATGAGGAAGCCTTAACTCTGTACATAAAATGGTTGGGTATTCTTCATATCTTTCAAATCATGGTCTGAAGCAGACCTGGGCAAAGTGCAGCTCAAGGGCCACATACAGCCCGTGAGCTGCTCCTGTC